CTGAGCTTTTAGGGTTTTCTGCATACATCATCATAACATCTGCATATATTGTTTGTCCTCCTCTTTCCCAGTTTGGATGCCTCTTACTTCCTTCTCTTGCCTTACTGCTCTTGCTAGGACTTCCAATACAATATTGAATATGAATAGTAGATTGAAAACCTGGTCCCTCTTTGCAAGCAGAATGCCTTTAATCTTGAGATGTTGGCTATTGGTTTTGTAACCCCTTTCACCTTCTCATTTTCTTGAGTGTTTTAATCAAGAAAAGTGCCAAATAAGTATTTTTTTATTTGTATTTGTTAGCTTTTGTTACCTGAGTAAAGAATATGAATTATGTGAAAACTCTTCAAGTCTTCTAGGAATAGGAGAATAAATAGTAGATTGTAGTTCATTCTAAGTTGTGGGAGTGAGTTCTTGTTTAAATGGAAGCTGTGGACTCTTGCTTCACCCGCCATTGCTGATAGGAAAGAAGTTTTATTCAGACTCCTTGTTCTCCACAAACTTGTTAGAATATTAAAGAGTGCTAAAGCTGTATGCCTGCACATTAAAAAAAAAGAATAAAGATGTGCAGTGAAGGAAATAAAAAGGGGGCCCATCTTTCTCACACAAAGCAGCAGGTCCTCAGGCCTTTTACCCTGTGTATGAGCAGCGGTGTTTGGATCTGTCTGGTTCATCACGGATCTGTTTTCTGTGGTCTGTGTGCTTGTCCCTGAATGCCTGTGTGTTAGACCTTCAGAATGCAGCTTGTTCCCCATGCCAACTCCGCTTTCCTCTCCTCATGTTTCTGCAGTGCTATAGACCATACTTCTGACACTTTGTACACTCGATTCACCTGCCTGCCCTGTACCACCACACTCGAGCCTCCAACGCCTGCTGTCGCTATGTGAAAAAGAACCACTCCCCCCACGCCTGTTCCCTTTAAGTAGTTCAGTAACCCAATGCTTACAGTGAATTTGTGATTGTTGATAAAAGTGTCCGGCTAAAGAAAGATTGAGCTTGATGAAGTCAGTTGCCTATTACTAAAGAGAGATGAGATTGAAAGGTTGCAGTGATTCGTTCTAAAGGGAGATTTTCTTTTCCACTTTGTAGCTATAAGGATCCGGCCTTTTATGAAGAATGCAAAGCAGAATACCTCAGAGAGAGGGAAGAGTTCAGAAGAACGGGCATCCCTAACAAGAAAAGGCTACAGAAGCTGCCCTCGAGTATGTAGGCAGAGGTGGAGGGCACGCAGGAGCCCGTCCCTGCGGAAGGCTCCGTCGCTCCTTCCTGGAATCATGATAAGGAAGTGCTATTTTGCTTTTGCCCTAAATTAATGGAAATGTTAATTTTATCTGAAATAAAGTTATGTGTTTTATTTTTAATTTCAGAGTTATGGTTTAATAAACATGCTAGGAGGAATTCATGAAATAGCTTTCCTGAGCATTCTGGATATTTAATAAATTTTTCTAAATTTATTTTTTATAAACCAGTTATACAGGAGTGATGCTTTTTCTTCTGTGTGGATCATACATGCCCCTCTTCAGCTGCACCAGTTAATAACCACAGAAACTCTTAAAGACTAAAGAAAAGCAGCAGTGGCTTCCTACAGAACAGACAGAAGTGCATGACTCCGTGTCATCCCTGGTCCAGCTGCTACGTTAGATGCACAGCTGCGGACTGAGGGCCTCACTGTCGGAAAGGTTTCACTGAGCATTCCAGCTTAGATGAATGTATCTAACAGTACCTTGGAAATTGTAAGCCCATTTTGTTAATCATTATTTTAAAACACAGATGAGATTTTCTCATATTTATTCCTTTTACTTACATCTTTGCAGTATGACATTTCTCAACCTGTTAACTTGGCTACTAAAATATTTTAACTTTTCATTTTAAATGGTTTTTATAAACATGAACTATGATTCTGAACACAGTAAAGATCTCAGGAGTTAGGAAAAAATTGTCTCAAGGCAGTAATGAAATCAGGGTTTCCACCCCTGCACCCCCCATTTTTTTCTACTACTTGGGAAGAGAGCCCTTCACCAGTTAATGTAAAAGCTTCTAACTGGTTTCAGAACTAGATTTTATGCCTATTATGTACACACTCCTCCCTAAAATCACAGACATCACTGCATACTGAAACAAGATTTAACTATGGTTCCAATGCCAAAATCGTTTGGGCTTTTTGCTTTTAATAAAGCAAACAGGACATGAAGGGACCAATGGTTAGGTTCTACATTTCAGTCTTTAGTGAATCACTCAAAAAAAATTTTTTTACATTTTTTTAAAAAGGAAACCACATTTTCCCATACCACCCAGCAACAGGAGGGGGTTCCTAGAACAGATTAAAGCAAATGCAGGCACCTCAGGTCCACGTAGCCTTGGGTCACACAAGTCTGTGCTGGCCTTTGGGCCCTGGTGTATTTCTAGAGCCAAGATCTTCCTTCTTTTCATGCTGGAAGCCTGAAGTTACTCCAAACAGCTAGGGTATTAGCTGTCCCCACTTTTCATTTAGATTAAAACAGACTTGCTTCATTTTTAAGTGGAGTATTCACTTATGTAAATGACACTAGACAGATTGGGTTATGGGGCATAATGAATTCATACCCTTGATTAAAAACCAAACGTTCAGTAGTGTTCTCAAGATACCAAGCTCTCCCTCCTCTCATGCACTTTGCTGACTTGTGTACCGATGTGTCTTCCTTATTTGTGCCTCAACCTGAAAGGACAGCTTGTAGTGTTATACCCTCAACCCTTTCTCCAAGTACCCTTCCCTCAATAAAATCATTACATCATTCTGTCCTTCGGTCTTCCATTTCCACCCCTTTGATTTCTAATACCTCACAGGTACGAGCCTGAGTCGGTGTCCCTCTGCCTATATGTCATTAGAAATTTGCCTTTTCAGAGAAGACATGTTTCCAAGTAATGGAGCGAAGGGGAGGGAAAAGGTGTGTTATTGTTTTTTTCTTTTGCTCAGTTCAGTTACAGATGTGCTGGATTTCATTCATTTTATTCATTCACCTCATTAAAAACAAAATGTGCAGATACATTCAAAGGAATCCCTTTGGATCATGTCTCATCTGGTATGAGAGAGGTATACATAATTTTTTTTTCCATCTTAAATATATTGTAAAGTACTTAAGAGCTTTTTTCCCCCTTAGTACCTACCAGTATACATTTAAACGTTCCTAATTTTTTAAATGTTAGTCTTTTCTTACCCAAGTCTTACGTATTTATTTAGCACTTTCAACACTCAAGAACATTCAGCCACCGACTTTCCTAGCATACCTGGGGGCAACATTCATTACTCTTGTTTACGAAAAGCAATTTCTCTATTCAAAAGTTGCGGTCTTTAAAGATTAGCAAGGCATGTATCGGTTACATGAATCAAATTAATAGTGTGGGTGATTGGCCTTGGAATGAACAGTCAAGGACGGTATTCCTCATCCTCTTCAATTTCAAACAAACATCTTTTACTCCAACAATTCCCCGCATTGCTCAAAACACTAATCAAGACATTATCTCGTAAGACTGACTTTCTATATAAAGAACATTTCCAATTTGGTTTTAAAAAGGGCGCACCAGTAAGCTACATTAGAGACTGGATGTCAGGCGCAGCCTATGCAGCCACATGAGAAATCGTTTCTGCTGCTTTGTTATTACACAGATAGTTGCTCCCTTCAGCTGCGGCCTGGAGTTTTCTATTTGTTTTATGCATATTGGGTTTTGTTTTATTACTAGGGAAGATACTGTACTCCCTTGAGCCAGCTGTGTTCATTGGTCAGAATAAATTCCAGCATCTGACACCAATTCCATTAATCACGAACAAGCCTGAATAAGTGAGTGACAGAATACAAAGACCGAAATATCTGGTGAACAGTGAACACTGCTTATGTATGTATGCTATTCAGTAACGCAGAAGAGATCAGAGACATGATTTTAAGTTCAAGGTATGTATGAAGCCATCTATCAAAAAGGATAAAGGATTCCTCAGTGAAACACTATCCCCAAGCAAAAGGTCTATAAAACAGGGAATACTTCCACCTTGGAGTTTAGATTAACCCTGCAAATTTACATGCAGAGCCATCTTGTGTGATTTCTTATTTATAAAGGACAAACCACCCAGGAACTTTTGGGATACTTCATGATTGTACGACATCAGTATAATGGAAAATCTGGAGCCGCTATTAAGATTCCATTTGTTAAGTAAAACGTGCCATTTGAGAACATAGCCCTTCCTCCAGGCAGCTGTAGCCCCCGGGAGAGCATGGTCTACAATCTAGAGTCTCACTGTGGGCTGACCAATGAAGGGGCAGAGTAGACTGAAACCTTTGTCACCTTTTCTACTTCTAACTGGCCATCAGTGGGTCTGTAATCATTTCTTTAAAGATAAAGTTTTACAACTTTTTTCCTTTACAATTATGACTTGAACATACTGACACAATGTTGCTTAAATGATCAGGGTCTTTCAAGTCCTACAAACCAAACTGCAATTCTCATTCTGTGGATAAGGAGAGAGAGTTTTCAATACAATGACATACAGAGATTGAATAACTTGGAGTATTATAAAATACTCCACTGGAGTAGTTTTTTCAGATGTGTAACACATTACCTTTTATGCAATTCGAAGCTACTTACAGAGTTTTATTTTTAAAGTGGCCTCTTTGATGATTTTTAGAAATGATGTATTTACGCATATCACACTCTGTAAAACTTTGTCCCAAAACATCCAATTCCATTCTTTATCCGAGACACAGAAATTTACAATTGTGCTCAGAGGGAAAAAGCAGTCTTTCTCAAACACCTTCAGGGATTTATTAGTAGCATGTAACTGATTCTTTGTCAGCCTGGGGTCTTCTTCCATACTAGAAAATCAACTATATAATTAAGGGATAATATGTGCAAATGTGTATATACCAGAAAAATTGCAAAATTGTAATCAAAATCTACTTTCAGTTTGTTAAATAATTCCTTGAGCGGCCACTGACGGAAACACAGCGTCCTTCCAGCCCAATCACAAATCTCATCTAATTCTTGGAAAGGCAGTTCTGATTGTATTGATCCAAATAATGCAGTGGCAGCAGGTTGGGGAGAGGGAGCGCTCTGCTTCTGGTTTCTCCAAAGGCCGTCTCGCCTGACTTAGGAGGGCTCGGGAACACCCACGAGTTATCTTCCAGAGAATTTCGGCCACAGGAGTTGTGTTCCGCAAAGTGTGTCCCATCGCTGGGGACGGGTCTTTCGCTGGCTGTCCATGACTGGAGGACTTCTTTCTCCGACAGTGCCTTTGCATGTCCTGGTACGGGAGAAGCTGTGGTGTGAGGCAGAGCTTTGCCATTTGGTGAGAGAGGGGCGTGTCTTTTGTACGTTGCAGTAAAATTCGTCAAGTGCAGTTTGGTGCTGTCTCTCCCAAGGTCGTCCATGTGCCCCGCTTGGGCGCAGGCTGAAAAGAAAGCAGAGGCCAGATGTCAGTTCTCAAGGCGTCTATCAAACACTGCAGCACTGCCCGACATTTGGCTCAGTGCTGGAACTGACTGTGAAATGAACATTTCCAATGAGTGCGACGACTGAAGAACTGGCGTGCAGGGAGAAGATCGGGAGTTCTAACGCCGGAGAAGCCCTTTCCTGACACAGGGACTTAACTGCTCTAACTGCTCCCAGTGCCAATTCCCTACTGCACAGTATCTGCAGGTTATCTGTGTCTCAGATATACCACAGTGTTATGGATAAATAATGTACTAGTGGAAAACAGTCAGACGACGACTGACGACCTCTCATGCCCCAGAGAACCGAAAGCTTCTGATGTGTCATTGGGGTTGAGAAGGCGGCTGTCGGAGTTTGTATGTAATACGCTTTGGTTTATTCAAACCTTCCCCCCACTGACAATCCAGAAATGATTAAAAAAAAAAAAAACACAAACCCACACAAAACCAAATAAAACTAATTATGCAGTGAATTGGTAAGACCCAAATGAAGTTTTAATACAGATTTTAAATATAAAGATTCAGACCATTTAAGTAAAATCTTTAGAATAATCCTCTTTCTCATAAAGTACATGGAAATGTACATCAAATTCCAGTCTGGTCATAATAATGATCACCTGAGAGAAATCAGTGGGGCTGGAGGGATGGGTGCGGGGGAAGGGCAAGGACAACATACAACTGACAAACCACAGTGTTTATTACATTATGCAGCAACGGCCTGGAAAACGAAGACGCCTCTCTCAAGATAGGATTAAGCCAGAACCCAGCATGGTGGCGGCACAGGCTTTCCTTCCCGTACCCTTAGCCTCTTAGGGTAGAAAAGACAAATGTATTTCGAGCTCGAGAAGGATGCCCAGGGCAGCGTGGCTCTTGTCCTAGAACAAGGTGAGTCACTCTGTGGTAACTGTCGCCTGTTCTTAGAAGACGCAAGGCAGGGCCCAAGGAGAGCTGGCAAGAACTTTGTCCAGCTTTTGGATACGGTGGTATGTAGATCAGTGCAGAGAATGGTGTGTCAACTCTCTCTGTTTTGAGGAGAAGGAGCCTTAAACTTGCCAATGTCTGACAAGGTGCTTCAGAAGCTCCCAGTCCAAGGCACTGGGAGACCCGCTACCTGCCAACTTTGAAGAGACAGGGAGGAAAAAAAAAGAGGTATTTCTAAGTGTGAAGAAAAGAACATTTATCCTCTATTATCTTTGGAAGTGCTATTTATTCCATAAAATATAGCTGTTGTTATACCAAAAACACCATCTACAAAAGTACTCAGAGATCTCCAGCTTTACTTCCACCACCACCTTCCAGTCTCCTCACATCCTCCTTGGAAAGTCAAAAGCCAGCTTCATCACAAAGCAAGCCAAAGCTCACTAAAAGGCCACATTCTGCTGCCTGGTTCCAGAAACTGGAAGGGGTAGATCACCTAGTCCACTCTCCTGGAATACTGAACACTCCCAGGGAAAACTATTCAAGGACACAATTACGGGACAAGTATTTCTGGAAGGTTACAAATCCACTCCTTTCAGGAGTAACTTACAGGGCATTCAAGTTTCTAATGTGCAACTTTTTAAGGCAACTTTAGGCCTGAAGGTGTGCGTTTCTCTCCGAATTACAGGAGTCTCGGCAGAGCATTCACATAACTAGTCAAGACTGCTATCAGCTGCGTAGCTGCAGAGGGAAGGTGAAGCGTTCCAATACTGGCTGGGTTGGTGGAGCCGAGAAGCTGCTGAGTCTCTGCTTCATATATGTGTCTTTTACAAAAAGAACAATGACGTTTACAAAAATGTCTGGTTAATAATAATCCTTTTAAAAAGCCCACAGAACCGCCAACCTGGAAAAAGCTATTTTTTAGTATGGTGCAAAAAGCTTAAGTGTTTGGTGTGTTCTGTAGTGCTGGAATGAAAAACAGCATTTGGTGTCTTCTTTTTTTTTTTTTGTAATATATGAAGCAGTTGTGGTAAAAGGTCAAGTCGAGCAAACTTAACACCTCAGCCTCATACACATAAGCAACACTTGCCTGAGAAAAAAGCCACAAGGGGAAAAGAATACAGTAGTGAAGAAAAAAACACATCAGCAACACCTCGATGTGTGAAGCTGACCAGTGTAAGAATGAAGGCAGAGCAGAGGGCGGGCGGGCTCAGAACTGCCCCGTGCTTGGCTTTATCAAGCCCATCTGGGGAGGTTCTGGAGACACGAGAGCGAGCTGCGGAGCTGGCGCGGGACCAGCGTTTCCGGCCCCCGGTGACTTACCTTTCCTGACTGCAGCTGGGGATTTCAGCTTCCTCAGTAGTTCAGCTTGGACTTGGGTCACAAGATGTAAATTTGACATTTCCCTCCTCAGCTCCCAGTACGCATGCAGCATGTTATCCCTGAAACACAGGTTTACAGAGAGTTAATGGTCGTCATCTTGAAAAGGGAATGGGAAGATGGATTTAAAATAGACACAGCAGGTCTACATTTCTGCTAAAATCAGTTGTTGTTTTTTTGTTTTGCTGGGTTTTTGTTGTTTTGTTTTGCTTTTTGTGTGTGTGTACCATCAAGTAAGATCTCACTGGTACAGGAGGAGATTGTCCCTCCTTCTCCAGCAGAGCATCTGGTGGAATCAAACTGCACACCTCTGGGATTACAGTGCAGCTTCTTGCCACCAGGCCACCAGAGCTCCCTTAAGATCAGTTTTGAGATGATGTGATATATATTAAAATTTCTCATTTAAATAAATCATGAAAATGGCAATTTAATGAGAGCATTAAAACAGCAGGTCTGAAGAATCACACTGTCCTTCTGGGTCTCTTTAAAATTTCACAGCCACTGAAACCCACCAGAGGGCTCCCACCAGTGAGAACCAACTTGACAGGAGCACGTGTACAAAGTTATACAAAGACATTTTCTAGTGTACAACAGTCCCTTCTGGATTTCTTCTCAGAGAGAAAGAGAGAGAGAGACAGAAAGAGACAGAGGGTGTGTGAGTGTGTGTACACACACACTCACACTTTCTTCTGGCTTCTTCTCAGAATGTGTTTGTGTGAAAGCAGTTCAGAACATGCTCTATAATGACAGGAATATGCTCCTTCTCTGTGAATTTGACCCAGACTTTAATATCACTCACACATGGCTTTAAGCTGGTTTTTACCACCCAATTCTATTTTGATAATGTGAATGAAAACAAGATGTCGAATATTAACTGTGTCACAGAGCCCACATTAGAGGAAGTTTTCTGTTCCACATGTTACATTCTTTTGTTTGACTGAGCTGTCGGTTCTCCACTAATGTGACAAGACAGCTAAAGTCATGAAGAGCTCGGTGATTTCATGGGACGGGGAAGGAAGACGGAAGGAGAGAATTCGCTGGAACACCCAGAAAATGTCATAAATGCCTCCGATATTTTTATAACTTTTTAGTTTTAAACTCCGTTTCTGGGAAACTATAAATTAAGACACTTTAAACCTAACAACAGCTTTCTGTTTTCTCATTGAATATTTCATCTTCTTTTTTTTTTTTTTTTTTGAATATTTCATCTTCTTGATTTCCCTTTTGAACCTCTCAAATGCCAACTCTACAAACTAAAATTCTGAATACTGATTCTTAGTTGAACAAGAATACATAGAATTCTAAATGTAGGAACAACTTGGCTGGCCCGAATTCAACCAACCACTGTTACCTCTTAAAGACAGTACAGAAATCAAATGGTACAAAAACCTGGGATCTTACACCTCAATTTGCACTTACCCATAAACAAAACTTTTAAACAGATTTCACAGAGGTGATATCTTTGCTAACTAAATTTAAAATCCTAATTAAGGAAGCAAGAGATACAACGAAAAAATGGAATTAATTTGAATTATGCAAAATTTAATGCCCTTTTTTGGTGAAAATATTGCCATTCCAGAAAAAAATTAATCCTTTAGCAAGAGAAGTAGCAGAATCAACTATTCGCTCTTCCATGTTGTTAGGTGCTGCTGAGCTCACAGCAACCTCATGAACAATAGACGAGAATTGTACTGTGTCCTAAGCCATCGTCACAACCTCTGATATGCTGGAGCCCGAGGTCAGCGTCACTGCCGAGCCTCATGCCATCTCCCTGACGGTCTTCCTTTCCTCTTGTGACCCTCTATCTTTCCCAGCAGGAGGTCTTATTCTAAACAACTGCTTTTAATTTGTTCTAAACATCATCTGTTACCAACTGTTGTTGTTGAGTGCCTTCGAGTCGAGCACAACTCATAGTGACCCAGTGAACAAAAGGCCTGAAGCCCCTCTCCAATAGTGACATTGAGTTCATAGTTTCCAGAGGCACGGTGCTTAAGAAGTGGATGCCACTCCTGCTTCCAAACCTGTCAGAGTATGTTATTGTTGTTATGTGCCACTGAGTTGCCTGTGATGTATAGTGACCCTATGTACAGCAGCTCTGAACCCTTCTCTGTCTCACTAACTGACACACCAATCCCCACCACCCGAGTCACTGAGTCAGTCTATCTACTCCGGGGCCTCCCTCTCCTGCACTGACCGTCCACCCTTCCAAGCATGATGTCCTTCCCCAAGGACCGATTTATCCTGGCCACATGCCCAAAATACGTGAGGCAGAGCTTCAAAATCCTGGCCTCCAAGGAGAGACTTGGTTTCACCCTCCCCAAGATAAACCTATTTGTTTTCTTGGCAGTCCATGGTAGGTTCAAGACTCTTCTCCAGCACAACTCAAAGGCTGTTACCAGTACCATATTTAAAAAAAAAATCACAAGGCTTTTTGCACGTTTTGGTAGGTGTAAAATAATCACTTCACAAAAACTAGTAAACCATCTTTGCTTGCCTGGTAAATATTTGTGATGTTTGCTACAATGCATGTTTCCCACAGGCGCCTGTCTTAAGTAGGAAGAGCTGTTGGTTCCGTGGTACAATTCTTAGCATCCTAGATGCCCTCCGACGGATTATTCATATTACTCACTGCAGTAAATGTAACACCACGTGTGCTAACTCATTCAGTCACGATATGAATAATGCAGTTTAGAAAGATGGCTATTTTATTGACAAGTTACCCAAGTATCTGACATGAGGAAATGAGAGGCAGATGCCACACACAGTGTATTGACAAGGAGATGAGAAGTCCACCTAAGAATGTATTGAATAGACAGCTAAGCATAGAAACTCACAGAGAAACGTCATGATGGACGGGTTAAACAGTGCCCAACAGCTGTTTCCAACCTAATCAATTTCTGCTTTGGTTAAACACAAAACAACGCCACTGAGCTTAAAATTCTTTGACAACTGTATTTAAATGTCACCTGAACTAAAAACGTAGAATCTAAAAATTATTACAAAGTAAAAGCTCTCCCTCTTGTGGATATAAAAAGTAATGGCAGTTACAATGAAGAAACGGTTTACTGTCTTCAAGGTTCTCATCGTTGGGTGCTGTCAGGACTGACTCCAGGCCGACTCTCCCCAGTGGGTGTGACGACGGGATGACTGGTCTACAAAGGAGTAAACCACACGGGAGAAGGCGGCCCATCTTCCTCCCAAGGTGTCAATGGTCGGTTAGGACTGCCCGTGACACAACTTTTGGATGAGTGGGAAAGGTAAATCTTTTAAATTGTCACCCACAAATATTAAGCTGGTTTCAAGTTAGCTTCTTTAGAGATGTATTTTGGGGGCTGTATGTCAACTGCTCCCTCATGTCCACGTTCCTTGGTTCCCAGTATAAGCAAATTTCAGTAACGACTATCGCTTACAAATACTCGGAAAATACTGAAAGCCAACACTAAAGCAACTCCTAAGGCACGCAGTTTGAGACCACCAACTGCTCTGCGGAAGAAGGACAGGCAATCTCTTCCTGTGTGATTAACTGCCCCTGAAAACCCACTGGAGGGTCAGCTATGGGTCGGTTCCGACTCTACAGGACACACCACCACCACTAAAGTGGAACAAATGAGAATCCTTAAAAAAACAAAACAAAACAAAAAAACTAGAGCAATAATGATGGTTGAACTTTTTTTTCCTTGTTGTGTACCATCAAGTTGGATCCAACCAGCACAGGAGACTGGCCCTCCTTGTCCAGTGGACCATCTGGAGGATTTGAACCACACACCTATGGGACTGCAGTTCAGCTTCCTGCCACTAGGCCACCAGAGCCCCCATGGTTGAATATTTTACTGCATGCCACGCACCTGACCCACATTCTCATACCAACTTGACAGACTAGGGTCACCTCCTTCCATGAGCGAGGAAACAGGGTCAGAAGCAGCTTCTTCACCCTATCACACGGCTGCGCAGAGCCATCCTTCACTTATCAGGTAATAATGGCTGATAACTGCTACTCTGAGGGAGAACTTTGCGCATTTTCACACATTTGCCAAACATCTAAAATACAGACTGCCAAGACAACCATCGGCCCTTCAGCATGAGCTTTTACACCTGAGATGTCGGCCTGTCTGCACTTCAGGGAGCTGATCAAGCACTGTCACTGGGCGTCATCAAGCCAGTTCCAACTGTCCAGCTTTCACACACACGAGGCGTTTGAGGGAGGGCCCTGGCAGCAGACAGGCCCCAGGTAAAATGTGCCTTGATTTCCTGTCTGCCAGTTTCGTGAATGCTGACTGACTGCGGATCCAAGTAGAATTTCACTTTATTCTATGCATCCCCGCACCCTCTGTGTTGCTTCCAACGCAAAGCAGCCCTCCACGGGGCTTCTGAGGCGGTGCATCTTCAAGGAAGGAGTCTGCCCACCTCTCCCCTGCACAGCTGCTGGCACATACAGCTCTCACAGTGAAGAGGACCTGAAGCACTTGCTGCAGGAGCTCGAGGACTACAGCCTGCAGTATGGCCTGCATCTCAACATTAAGAAAACAAGAATTCTCACCACCGGGTCCTCAGACAACATCATGATCGAAGGAGAACAGAATCAAGATGCTAACAATTTGAGTCTTACTTGGATCCACAATCAACACTCTTAGTACCAGCAGTCAAGAAATAAAATGACAAAACTGCACTGGGAAAATACACTGTCAGGGCCCTCGCAAGAGGACTAAAGTTGCTGGAGAAGAGTTTTGAACATACCATGGACCGCCAAGAGAACAAGCAGGTCCTGGAGAGGGTGAAACCAGGCTGTTCCTTGGAGGTAAGGATGATGACACTCTGCCTGACAGACTTAAGGCATGTTGCCAAGAGCGACCCGTCCTTGGAGAAGGACTTCATGCATGGTAAGGTGGAGGGTCAGCCTAAGAAGACGACTCTCCAGGAAGTGGGACTGACAGTGACCTCAACGATGAGCTCAAGTGCGTCCGAGATGGTGAGGGCACCACAGGACAGGGCTAGGTCCAGAGCCATCATTCACAGAGTCACAGGTGACTCGACAGCACCTAACAACAGCATGAGGAGCTTAAATATGACATTCTTTTCTCCCAGGGGGTACTTGGACTTGCTTTGACCACACTGTTGTTGTTGCTAGGTGCTGTCAAGTTGAGCACAACTCACAGCGACCTTATGAACAAAAGACCTGAACCCCTGTTCTGTCCTGCGCCGTCCTCACACTTCCGGACACACAAAAGCCCATTGTGGCAGTCCTTGTTTCTTTTTTTTTTTTTTTTTTT